CTGGCGGGGTTGGGCTGCCGCGGACCCTCCGGGAGGAGCGAAGGAAACCCTGGCTGGGCCTGGGCTTCCAGCGCTGTTGTTGCGACGGGTCGGGGACCTTCCATCATGGGCTGAGCAGAGACGCAGGGTGGCAGGGCTGGGACAACGCCTCCGTCCTTGTCCTCATCCGCCAGCTCCGTTTGACCCCCCTTGGCAGAGCTGGTGGAGGTGGCTTTGCCGCCTCGGCTCTCTGCAGTGCCTCGCAGTGGTCTGTCCGCTGCAGCTGCCTTTCCGTGGGGACTCCCCAGGATCCCGCCTTGTGTGCCTGTTTGTGTTGGACTGAAAGTAAATTACCATTACACTTCGTGTTAAAAAAAAATGCCTTCCGTGTTCCAAGAGACGTATTCTCCATCAATATCTATTTCCACTTGATTTTTCAGGTTTTATTTGAATTTTTTTTTTTTTTAACATTCAGCAAACAAAGTTGGCCATGAGAAGAATGAGAGAAAAGCAGAGGGATGGGAGGGAATGACTGAAATTTTATCCTTTCTCCCCTGTCCCTCAGGAGTGCTTCAGAAAAAATAATTCATTTGAACAGAAAATTATCATGGGGAGGGGGGAATGAAACAGTTCTCGACCAGCTGTCCGATGCAGCTAGCAAGGCTGTTTAATTAACAATTTGCTTGGCTTCCAGCTCGCTAAGAGCCAATTTAAGGATTTTTTTTCTTGCCTGGCAAGTGATGCGTAGCTGCTGGAGGAGTTAATACCAGCGCTGGGAGACCTTCCCCATGACAGAGAGAAGGCAGCAGGGTTATTCAGCAGCTAGGAGTGATCTGTACCTGCTTGTGGAAGGACTCGGTCCCCTCCCAGTCCTAACGAGACCTTTCTTCTTTCCTCCCTTGCATGCCAGTTGTCTTCTAATTAGCTGCATTTTAAATCTTTGTGAGCAGAATGAAATCCCAGGCAAGGAAGCATTTTTACCCTGCTGGAAAACTTCATTAGCGATCCGCCAGAGAGTTTGATTTCCAAGCAGAGTGGAAACCCATGGATCGCAGCGACTCTGTGGGTGTTGTTATCGATGTTGCTGTTTCTCTTGGCCACGTCGAACATTCACCTCTTCTCTGGGACCTGCCCTGACCCTGCAATGCGGGAAGGGACCAACGGGAAGCCTCTCTGGGGCTGCAGTCATCCTCGAGGAGGAAGGGCACTCGCTGCTGCATGCTGACCTGTCATCTCTTGCAGATTTGTGTCAGGCTCCGGTTCTGGAAGAACGGCTCCTGGCCTAGCGAGAGCACCGGGTTCCTTTGGCAGCGACCTCCACCCGTAAGTTGTGTTAAACAGCTAAGGGAATTATGTTTTCTTCATTCCCAGAAAGAGCCAGGGGTCGGAAAAATCCAGATTCCTTGGAGCTCTGTCACTAAGAGCTTCTGAATCAAGCCAACCCATCTCCACCTGGCTCCCAGCACCGAACAGGCTGCCCTGCTCGTGGGGCGATGGGCTCGGGGGAGGCCGGAGCGTGGTGCTGCTCACCGAGGCGTTTGGTGCCCTCGCCTCCTGTTTCCGTAGGGATTGACCCCACGCTTGTGTGGGTGCAGGCCAAGCCAGCCCACGGGGGGGGGAGATGATGGAGGGTCTCCTTGTCCTGGGAGAAGCCGTCAGGCTGTGGCACAGCGCGGTAAAGCTGGCGGTGCGCATCTCGCCTGTTGCCCATCACCCTGTCTCTGGGCTCCTTCGCGTGTTCACAGCAGTGGTAGCAGAGCCCTTGATGTGAGCGGCAGGTCCGGGCGCTGCTGCTCGCTGCCGCCTGGGTCAGAGCCTGCTTCAGAGTCCCGTGCTGCCGCGAGACGCCTGGGGAGCAGGTACTTTGTCACCGTTATGTTTTCAAGTACGATTAAACCAACCCTGGGGCTGATTCATGGCTTCCAACAGGTGCTCGGGGAAGGTGGGTGAGACAGAAATGACAATACAGTGGCACAGCAGAAAAGTTTATTTTTAATCCCAAATATTTACGATCAACACCTGCTAAATGGCGAGTGAAATCCATTTTATGGTGTCATTAATCTGCAATAAACCGGTTTTGTTTTTACACTGTTTGCGCAGCGTTGCCAGCCTGACTCGTCCCTGCCTGCGTTTTATCTCTGCGAGGAGGCTGCAGAGAGCTTCCCTGCCCTTTGTCTTACCAGCTGTTTGCTGCTCTTCCCACCTGCTGCTCGAATCGAGCGGTGCGGAAGGAGGATTCTCCCGTAACATCAAACGACGGCTCAGAGGAGGATGTTCTTGCTGTAATTCTTGCTGAGTGTATTTACCCAGAGATTTATTTTGGTGGGAAGACGAGTGGGGTGAACTTTTGCGTTACGTGTCTGAACGCCGCGAGGCAGCTGGGAAATGGGGCCTGAAGGGGTGGCAGCTGCGCCAGGAGGGTCCCCATTCCCCTGGGCACAGCAGGGAAGGGGCTTTGCAGGTCTGAGGGGGACACACGGCCCTTGTGACCCAGGCCCAGGGGACTCACGCCACCGTCAGCCCAAGCATGTTTTACCAATATCCCCCCAGAGCAGGAAAGCAGGGCAAAAAGCCGGAGCAGGCGTTT